ACAGAATTATTACTAATAAGTTCATTTCCGCCGTCTTTCTTCGTCACACCTCTTCCACTAGCATCGAGTAGAAAGACTTATAAACACTTTGTTCCATGATACACTGATTTAATTATTATATACAGTGTGCGATGGGTAAATTGTCGCCATTTTCTATGCCAGTTGTTTCTTATGATTTTGTCGACTTCACCGTGACACACACCGCCAGAAGCTTAGCATTCGCGCCAGATTCTCTAATGCGAACAATTCAGAGTGTCTGGGTGTCAATCTGAGGACAGTGCAGAGGATTCGGGAAGAGTCGGATGAGTCTAATGGTGATTACAAAGATACGGCAGCTCGGAAAACTCACTCTGATTATTCTGACAAGAAAAAAAATTCCAGAATTTGTTGGTGAGGGCCTCTAACTCAACACGAAGGCTTACATCAACTGCCTTGAGGAGGTAGTGCTGCCTTGGAGCAAAAGGATGGCTGCTGGAAGACCCTATGTCTGGTAACAGGACTCTACACCAAACCACACAAACAGGAGAACTCAGGCATGGCTGTCAGACAATTTTACCGACCACATCACCCCTTACATCTGACCACCTACCTCCCCAGATTGAAACCCCTTTGATTATTATATGTGGGGAGCATTCGTGCAAGAGGCAAATAAAACTGTTTGTAACACCAAAGATGAACTGAATGCAAGGACTATGGCAGCATTCACCAACTTAAACAAGCAGACCGTTCAGATGTTAAATGGAGGGCGTGGTTCAAGCCAATGGTGATTTTATTGAATAAATTTATTAGTATTTCAAGATATTTTTGTGTAATTTTGGTAAATATAGCTGTTAAAATGAGATGTCAGTGTTATTTTCATTTTTGTGTAATTTAGACGATTGTTGCAGACCCTGTAGCATGCAGTCAACCTTCTTATTCTGGTAACAGAGCGCGACTGACTTGAAAAATAAAGTTTGTCAGTGAAATGCGCGGGAAGATTTCAAATTCCAGTTCAGATGATATCAGGAGCAGCCAGTAAGCTTGTCGGCAACAATAGGATGGCTTACTGCTATGTCTAGTCGAACGTGGAAGGAAGGGGTGCAAAACGCGCGCGCGCAAAAGGATGGCGTCTATGCACGCTTCCACACGATAATTCATCCCTGTCCCCCTGCACATTGCTATTTAGACCAGCGTACTAATTCAACGGAAAATATTTTAGGGTGGCTTATTATATACTCTCTTATTCGGACGAACATTCTCCATTTGTTTCTTATATTCACAACGTTTTAAGGTGTTGTATCATCCAACCTTCTTCAGATTTCCAACAGGCAAAACGTTATAAGCATAACAAGCAAGACCAGCTCAACTTATTTAACATTAGGTCAACCCATTTCTTCGCATATCACTCTATTATATCTTCATATTTTTATGCATTTAGATGTTCGAAACAAACATAGCCGACACTGAGTGTCTGAAAGCACGTCTCATCTGATTACCAGGACGATTTTTGGTACCCTCTCAAACCCCAGAGATTTTGGACAGTTCTACTCTTTCTTACCTCTTTCAGTCCCCATCTCCACCCACCGCGAAGGAATGCCAGTTTGCGCATTTTGGGCGAAAAGTAACAAATTTGGCTACATTTTAAAGCCCAGAGATACTAAATTTTAAATAGGTTTACTTTCCATTAGAAGCCAAATATATTTGAATAGTATTCTCAAAATTCATAATTTCGTAAGATTAGGCTATCGAACTGAATTATTATGTTATATCAGTCTTCTTACATTCCAATGAATACTGGCAATCTCCTCACAGATATCTTTATCTTGAAGCAACAGAAATGTGGTTCGAAAGAAGGTAATATGGACCGACACGTGAGCCACGACAAAGTTTTACAGACAATCGCGACAAAAGGACACATATTACTTAACATCAGGAAGAGACAGTTGACATTTCTAGGGTATATAATGATTGATTGATAGATTCTTTTTTTGAGGGCTTATCAACCTTTTGAAGGTTATTTAAAGTTAGAAAATATTTTTGAGTTGACAGAATGTTTTTCTTTTTAGATAATAAGGATTTAGTGACATAATGTTTACGAATTAATCCAGAGCTAAAAAAAAAAAAAAAAAAAAGGATTTGCGCGTTAGTGAACATAACGAAACTAACTTGTGGATGTGTTATGGTCAAACACACCTATTCTATAGTTAATACGCTCTCCCACCTATAATAATTAGGAGTAGTAAGAGTAACAAAGGGTCGCTCAGTGGGTCGGTCTGAGTTCAGTCTGAAGTCGGACGACTGGCTGACCGGTTGAACTCTCTGCCTTCGGGCGGGGAAGAACCCGAACGAGGCTACGCCGAAGGGCGGAGTCTCTTTCGGGGAGGTAAACCGACCCTGAACCCGTTTATACGGGTTAAAAGGGCATATTTTTGGCCGAGCCCACGGGATCGGAGATCCCACGTTTTTAAACCGGCCTTGTGCTACATGATGCCCTCGTGGGAGGGGGGTGACTGAATACCGCTCAGTGAGTCGATGCCGGACGACCGTTAGTCGGATACTAAAGTATCAGCGACCACAACTAGATTTCTCTGCGTCATACCTATTATATGAAGTTCCTAACGTTTTGTACCTCGAACCTATTTTAGGACCGACTTAGTACAAATACAAGCCTCCACTGTGAAAACACTCCATAACAGGATGGTCGACACCACAAAATGCAGATATCAAAAGAAGATAGCTGTTCAATAGGTTGCCTATATAATTAAGATATAGTCGTCCCATAGGCTATCTAAAGAAGATAGCTGTTAAATAGGCCACGTATCTAATGAATATAGAGTCTTTCCATAGGCTATCTATATAATGAATATACTCGTTCTATAGAATATCTATATAATGAAGATACTGTGCTCGGGCGCGTATAGGTGATCGGAGCGGAAATTAAGGTCACCATACGGAGTTCCTGTTCCTATCGACGAAAATAAGAAATGTCTATGGGAAAGTTATGAATCTTTCTCTTGACTACGTGTTAATTAGCTTTGGCTGGCATCCAGTCTAGAAGAAATAATACACTGAATTCGAAACCGGTTAGCGTGAGGCTATCACCTTCATTCAGTAATTCTTCTTGATACTGAAACTAAGCAACTGTTGTGGAGTATTTTTCACAGTGGAGGCTTGTATTTTCTAATAAGTCGTCCTAAATTAGGTCCGACGTACAAAACGTTAGGAACTTGGAAAATAAGAGTCAATGGCGCAGGAAATCTAGTTGTGATGGTTGGTACTTCAAATGTCCGAATCTCGACTGACGCGCTCAACACCGTTCAACGCCAGTTTAATTGTGGGTTTATCCGAGCCCATAGGCTCGGCCAAAAAATTAGCCTTTGAAGCCGATTAGACGGGTTCAGGCCCTGTCTACCTCCCCGGACGAAACTTTGCCCTTCGGCAAAGCCTCGTCCGGGTTCCTCTCTACTAAAGCAGAGAGTTCGACAGGAGGTGTGCGCAGTCAGAGACTTCTCAACACCGTTCGGTATTTATCATTTCACCCGGGAAAAACGAATATGGCACAAGGCCGGTTTTATTGTGGGTTTCTCCGAGCCCGTAGGCTCGGCCAAAAAAATAGCCTTTTGAAGCCGATTAAACGGGTTCTGGCCCTGTCTACCTCCCCGGACGAAACCTTACCCTTCGGCAAAGCCTCGCCCGGGTTCCTCTCTGCTAATGCAGAGAGTTCGACAGAAGGCGTGCGCAGTCAGAGACCGCTCAACACCGTTCCGCCAGACTTGCCACTGTTACTCCTACTTATTATCTATGGGAGAGTCCATTACAATAGAATAGGTACCTAACAGCAACAACACAAATCACGATGAGGCTGTAACCAAAATATTCCACGGAAAGTCTACAGCTTCAACCGTCTGATCTATGTGGTGTTATAACTATTTTTGATTTAGTCGTCGTAACAGTCGTGAATATTCTGTCCCATTCCAAGTATTAATAGCAACAATATTGTGAAGGTTATTTCTTACTGTGTTGCCTTTCTTCATATCAACATTTTTTTTTCATACCAACTAAGATTCTCTGATAGTAAGTCGATGCACACTTTCGCCCGTTCTTGCAAAACTGTAACGGCTGCTGGCGGTCAGGTTTCCATCATCAAACGAACGAAAAAAAAAATGGCGAATATATAAAAGAGATAATAATTATTTATACCATTTGGCGATTGATTTTTTTCAGGTGATAAACGACGGAGTTCAACACTTTGCCTGGCTTGATGTGTGAAACGGTTATATCGCAAGTGAAAATGCCGCTGGGAGATAACGCAAAACAAACAGCGGCTATTCCTGGAAGTCTTCAGAGAAGAGATGGAAAAATCTGATATGGAACCTGTGTTTTGAAGTGCAAGGAATGACGAAGGAAGATAGCAGGAAACGATGGGAGAGGTTTTTTCTTTTCTTTTCGTTTTTAAATTTGTTTTCTCTTTCTTGTCTCTTTTGTTTGTTTTCCAGAAAAATACGCATTTCTTATTTGCAACATTTTATGGTGGACTTACAGTCAATCTAAAAATGTAAAACCGGTTAGCGTCGAAAGAAAAGAAGAATTTCTAAGAGGTGACAGAAAACAAAAAAGGAAAGAAGGTTACCGTATATACTCGGGTATAATTTGAGTTTTCTACGCAAAAATAGGAGGTCGCACTATATATCAGGTCATCCCATAAGTTCTGTCCGAATTTTAACTTTTTGTTAAAATGAACGAAATTTAAAGAGTATTTTATAATGTCTAATGGAGCTGAACATTATTCTTATGTTTAGATGCATTTAAACTGATCAAATTTTATTTCAGAGAACAATAAAATTAAATTTTGTTTGATTAAAACCCTGCTAACATGGAAGTACCCAAGATTCATTTGAGGCACATAATGCTTTATGAGTTCAAGAAAGGAAACTCAGCAGCCGAAGCGGCTAGAAACATTCACTCAGTTTATGGAGAGGAATGTGTGAATGAAAGAACTTGCAGAAGATGGTTTGCAAAATTCAGAGGAGACGGAAGAAGAAAAAGAAGAAGGGAGACGGGAGACCAAGACAAAGTAGGAGGAGGAAAAAGAGAAAGAAAAGTGGAGAATAAGAAGGAGGAGTAGGAACAGGGATGGGGAAAGGAGGAGGAGGAGAGAAGAAGATGAAGAAGAAGGAGGAGGAGGAAGAAAGGAGACGGAAGAAGAAAAAGAAGAAGTGAGACGGGAGACCAAGATAAGGTACGAGGAGGAAAAGGAGAAAGAAAAGTGGAGAATAAGGAGGAGGAGGAGGAACAGGGATGGGGAGAAGAAGGAGGAGGAGGAGAGAAGAAGATGAAGGAGGAGGAGGAGAGAAGAAGATGAAGAAGAAGGAGTAGTGGGGAAAAAAGAAGAAGAAGAAGAAGAAGAAGAATATATTATTATTATTATTATTATTATTATTATTATTATAAAAAACAAACCAAAAAAGTAAAGCTGGATAAAGAGCGACAAAACTGAAAAAAATGTGCATCAGAAACTTGACAGCTGTGTCCATAAAGGTTGGGGAAAAAATAGAAATCTCTGAAAGAAAGGATTAGTTTTACGAGCAGTTACTGTAGCAGTCATTCGTGCATGAAGTGAAATCGGCAAACTGACTTCAAATTCCGGTTTAGTCTGTTACGGTAATGGTTTATAAAAACCGAAATCACTCAAAAGACAACGGACAGTATGTGTTCAAAATTTTCCCTGGTTACCAAAATAATGGCTCGAACCGCAGAAAAAGTCCTAAACAAAAAACAAAACAAAAATACCCTTTCGTTGGTCTTGAACTAATTCTGCACGAATAAAAGATTACTGACCAAACAAAAACAATATATATATATATATACAGTGTCCACCAAAAATGTATACGCACTTTTCGTAGTTTTATCAAACTTCGATAACACTGTTTATTGTCAAACGATATTTTCCCGACAGATGGAATTACATTGGCGGCCCTCAGACAAGAAATTGAAAATGCATGTGTAATAATCCCACTGGACACTTTTGGCCAAGATTATCCAAGCAGTAGTTCACGGTACTTATAAATATTGTAGCTCGTGACGTCACACATGCCCACGCGAGAGTGAAAACGTGAAGTATTAAGTATGGGAAGCCGTTGGTATAAACCAATGGATTCTGTTATCAATTATAGGCATTTAAGTATATTTGTGGAGTTTTCATAGTTTATTTTGATCAGGTTAGCTTTCAACAGTTTTATGTATATAGCTTCAAGAATTTTTAGTTTTTGTTTATTGTTTTCATGTTTAAGTATAGTTGTGTTTTCAACGAGGATTTTCCGGTAATGTGTACGCGGCCAGTCATGTTTTTTTAAATGCCAAAAAGTTATCATTCAAATGTAGTGTCAAGCGTCGTGAAAGCGAGTTTGTGGTGTGACCAACATAAATATTATTTAATCCATTGGAGATACAATCTCCCAAAGGGCACTTGAATATGTAAACTATGTTGGTTTTTTGCAAATCACTAACGGGGAGGAGGGAAGAATTATTGCGAATAATTAAGTTGGATGTACTAGATTTAGTGTAGTATATGATTAACCTCATTTTTTTTTTGCTAGGACCTGTTGTAGATATATTAGTATTTACTAATTTTTTTTAGTATATTTTTAATCTTGTTTATAATTAGTATGCATTTAACTACGATATAGAAGATTAATACGTTTGGGATGTGTGATATTTCTGATAACTTCATCGGGCATGAAACTTTGAGTAACATCTTCCAGCAACGAATATCAATGTACTTGTTTTAATATCTATCTTAGCTTTTTTTGTTTTTATTCCCTGTGCACAGTATTATATATATATATATATATATATATATATATATATAGAGAGAGAGAGAGAGAGAGAGAGAGAGAGAGAGATACAGAGAGACAGAGATGGGAAGAGAGATAGTGTGGATAGTTTTTCGGCATAATGCTATCTTCAGACCAAGTACATCACTGCTTTTAGTGGGCTGTACATGATATATATATATATATATATATATATATATATATATATATATATATATAAGATATAGGGAAAGAAAGACGAGGTGGGGGAGAGAGATTAGGACAGAGTAAGGATATAATAAAAAGGCTTAAACACTATCTTTCCCTCCCTCTTATTCTAACATTAGATTGTCTATGGTGTGTGTATGTCACCACGAAATGCATGTTTATGCATTAGACATCCGACAACATTCATTTTTCTCTTACTTAAACCCCTTCCACACATCTCCACCAAAATTCTCTCTGTTAAGGTTTAATCTCCCTCCTCCTCATACTTACACTCTCTCTAAATTCTGTTTTTATTTCCGGGGTTGTTTTTTTTTCTGTTTTCTTTTTGAATTTGTAGGTCTGATGAATTGGATCGTATTTACGATTCCAATGGAATAAATTATGACCATGGAATATTAATGTTTAAGCCTTTTATTATATATATATATATATATATATATATATATATATATATATATATATATATATATATATATATATCAGTTTACGATCCGCGTAGCTAGAACCTAGGTATGTCTGTCTGGCTCTTTAGGTTTACGTAGTTTGCTCTACTTAGCTTATTGAGCACTTTGCTTAGTTATTTTACTTTACTCATGTCGGAGTTTTTTTTTTGTCAGGGGGGGATTCTGAACTTAGATTCGAGACGATTATTTTCGCCGGAAGTACATGTTCTTAGTTCTTCTTCTCCCCATCCCTGTTCCTCCTCCTCCTTCTTATTCTCCACTTTATATTTGTAAGATTATTAGTATAGTATATATATATATATATATATATATATATATATATATATGTGAAAATATATAGAAAATAGGAAGGAACTGGTTAGGTAAATAATCCAAAGTCCCTTAGTATTTTAGTTATTATTTTTTAAAAAAATAGTGCTCGATACAAAAAAGTAGAGCATAAATATAATTATTTATTTAAAAATATGATTCCAAATCGCTTACATAAGAGGTCTCATGTTTCAAAACTAGAGCCAAAACTTCAATATAATCCTTTAAATTAAATTGAGTTGAAAGAAAATGGGCTCCGTTCCATCCTCAACATGAAATTTTGTTAATTTAAAGGATTATTTTGAAGTTTTTATCCTAGTTTTGAAACATGAACATGTAGCGATTTGAATCATATTTTAAATAAATAATTATATATATATATATATATATATATATATATATATATATATATATATATATATAAAGTAAGAGAAAGTACATAGTTATAATCCAGAGTTCTTTATCATTTATTTAAAAAAAGAAACAGTGCTCGATACACTGTAGAGCATACTTATTATTATTATTATTTAAAATATGTATTTATCGGGACACAGAAATTAAGAAGTTTCGAACCAAAACCTAAATCTTAAATTAAACTTAGAATTTGAAGTTCACTTCAATTTTCAAGGGATGCAGAATAATTTTATGTTTAATTTAAGATTTGGGTTTTGGTTTCTGCAACATGGTAATTTCTGTGTTGCGATGAATACATATTTCAAAAAATAATTATAATATACATATATATATATATATATATATATATATATATATATATATATATACTAGTAGAGAGCCTGGCGTTGCCCGGGATGTAACAGTAAGAGATAGATCAAGTATCCACCATCATAAAGACTGAAAAATAAAATTGACAAAGATTATTGTTTAAGGTTGACGGACACGCATGTCTTAATTAGTTTTTTTTGTTTTTGTTTTTTGTGAATTGGTCAAACCCAAACTCAAACAAAAACATTGTTTTCAATCGTTATGAGTCTACCAATCGAATAGAATTTTATTATAAACAATCGTCTTGTAAATGGAATTTTTAAAGCATTCTGAATGTAAAAATAAAGAAAAAAAGTGTGCAAGACAATAAGAAACACTACCTGCCAAAAAAAGTGAAGTTTTGTTGAAATCGGTTGAAAAATGTAGGAAATCCGATCCCATATATAAACGAACACACACACACACACACACGCACAAACAACCTGGCTTTTATAATAAGTATAACTCGATATGAGTTGTCTTTTCTTCTGGCGACAGAATCGTGTTTTATCGTGTTTTCAAATTGATTAATGCAAAAACAATTGTGTCTTTCCAATTTTTGGCGCTGTCAGAACCACTGCAAGGTAATTTTACATAGTCCTGTGAAGTTTTGTTGAAATCGGTTGGAAAATGTAGGAAATCCGATCCAATATATAAACGTACAAACACACACACAATCTTCGTTTTATAATAAGTAAGATACACACACACACACACATATATATATATATATATATATATATATATATATATATATATATATATATTACAATAAACGTGCAATCAGTTTACAAATACATGAATTATTCACACAAAACTAATGCAAAGGTTAATGATTTAAATGGCGAGACATCCATCATCGCAAACAATTCAAATAGTATGCAAAAACCTCCAGATCCGTTATGAATGAATTGATCCTTGTTTATATAAATCATTAACCTTTGCATTAGTTTTGTGTGAATAATTCATGTATTTGTAAATTGATTGCACGTTTATTGTAATTTAAATAACTGATCCAAGTGCGACTTTTAGATAATAAGTGCGACATTACTGTAATTATTGAACAATATAGTTCATGCCACTTTGACAGAAAAATTTACCAGTAAAATAAATTTGTTCATCACCATATTTGGTATAAACGCAAACACTTTAAAAATTTAAAATCAAACTCAGCGTTGCTTTGGCGCGTTCCAAAACCAATAACTCTTTTTCAATAGCATTTTCGGATACAACAACACATATATTTTCGTTGTCCTCTTATTACCAAGAGAAAAAAACAAAAACAAGAACAACATCTCTATTCTATACCTGAAGATGTCTGTAGGAACAGACGAAAGCTTGTAGTAAAAATAACAGCTAATACGGCAGAAATTTATATAAACAAGGATCAATCCATTCATAACGGATCTGGAGGTTTTTGTATACTATTTGAACTGTTTGCGATGATGGATGTCTCGCCATTTAAATCATTAACCTTTGCATTAGTTTTGTGTGAATAATTCATGTATATATATATATATATATATATATATATATATATATATATATATATATATATACAACAATTGGTCGGGATAATTCCAAGGAGGACATAAATCCAAAAAGAGCTCAATGTAAGTAATCAAGGAATATAACAATCAGTCAAGAAAATCTTTAAAAATGCATTTCGGATACAATTTATTTCATGAGTATATTTATATTATTTTTCTCTTCAGACTGAAGGTTTTTTTTTTTTTAGAAATTTATAAGTCTGTGTGTGTGTGTGTGTGTGTGTGTGTGTGTGTGTGTGTGTGTGTGTGTGTGTGTGTGAGTGCGCGCTTGTGTGTGTGTGTGTAAAATTTCAGATACAACTACAATATATCTGTAACAGGATAATATGATAATCGTAAAGACAAAATGAAAACCTATCTTAGCCGACTAAATAGAGAGAGTGAGTGATAGAGATGAAGTGTGAGAGAGTGAAAGAGAGAGAAATAGAGAGTGAGGCAGAGATAAATAGGGAGATAGAGAAAGCGTATGGGAGAGAGAAATAGAGGGAGGGAGGGAGAAAGAGACAGAGAAAGTGAGAGATATAAATAGATAGATAATGAGAGTGAGAGAAATAGAGAGATTGAGATAGAGATAAATAGAGAGAGAGCGAGTGAGATAAATACCGATAGAGTAAGAGAGAGAGAAAAAGAGAGACGTAATGAGAGAGAGAAGTAGAGAGAATGAGAGAGATCCAGATAAATAGAGAGAGTGTGAGAGAGAGAAAAATAAAGTGATAAATTGAGAGAGAGAAAAATAGAGAGAGCGAGAGAGATACAGATAAATAGAGTGAGAGTGAGAGAGAGAAATAAAGAGATAAATTGAGAGAGAGAGAAAGAGAGAAATAGAGAGAGTGAGAGTGATGCAGATAAATAGAGAAAGAGTGAGAGAGAGTGAGAGAGAGAGAGAAAAAATAAAGAGATAAATTGAGAGAGAGAGAAATAGAGAGAGTGAGAAAGATACAGATAAATAGAGAGAGAGAGTGAAAAATAAAGAGATAAATTGAGAGAGAAATAGAGAGAGTGAGAGATATACAGATAAATAGAGAGAGAAATAAAGAGATAAATTGAGAGAGAGAAAGAGAGAAATAGAGAGAGTGAGAGAGAAAGAGAGAAATAGAGAGAGTGAGAGAGATACAGATAAATAAAGAGAGTGTGAGAGAGAGAAAAATAAAGTGATAAATTGAGAGAGAGAGAGAAAGAGAGAAATAGAGAGAGCGAGAGAGATACAGATAAATAGAGTGAGAGAGTGAAAAATAAAGAGATAAATTGAGAGAGAGAGAGAAATAGAGAGAGTGAGAGAGATACAGATAAATAGAGAGAGAGAGAGTGAGAGAGAGAAAAATAGAGATAAATTGAGAGAGAGAGAAATAGAGAGAGCGAGAGAGATACAGATAAATAGAGTGAGAGTGAGAGAGAGAAATAAAGAGATAAATTGAGAGAGAGAGAAAGAGAGAAATAGAGAGAGTGAGAGTGATGCAGATAAATAGAGAGAGAGTGAGAGAGAGAGAGAAAAAATAAAGAGATAAATTGAGAGAGAGAGAAATAGAGAGAGTGAGAGAGATACAGATAAATAGAGAGAGAGAGAAATAAAGAGATAAATTGAGAGAGAGAAAGAGAGAAATAGAGAGAGTGAGAGAGATATAGATAAATAGAGAGAGAGAGTGAGAGAGAGAGAAAAATAAAGAGATAAATTGAGAGAGAGAGAGAAATAGAGAGAGTGAGAGAGATACAGATAAATAGAGAGAGTGTGCTTGTGAGAGAGAGAGAAAAATAAAAAGATAAATTGAGTGAGAGAGAAAGAGAGAAATAGAGAGGTAGACAGAGTGAGAAAGAGAGAGAGAGAGGTGATCAACCAGTAATATCGACCAGATTTTACTCTTATCCCTCTTGTCTCCTGGTCTGGCCTTTTCTTCCTAAATTTCATAATACAACAAAGATAACTACAATCTATGATCTTAATTAGCAAATCCAAAATTGAATTTCTTCAATCGAAATTCGATTTTGTTTCATGACTTTAACCGCTTCAGCTCACCTTTTGAACCATCTTCGGTCAACGCTATATTAAAAACCGCATAATCAAAGAGAAAGAATCACTGAAAATGGTCGGCAAATATTAGAGAAACTTTTACTTTAATCTTTCCCGATAAATCTTTGTCGAAACTGCCAACCCCACTCGCACCTGTAATGTTCTGATTATTCTCCGTGTTAATTGAATGGCACTCAATAAAGTCTTTTTACGCAGAAGAAGGACATTTGATCAGTGAACCTGTGAAAGACAGTTACTTCAGCCTGGGCAATTTGGGCAACGTTTAACTCTAATTCCAAGTGTTCACAGATTCGAACGCTTATTCTGAGGAATTACACTAATATATTATTATCGTCAAGCAATAGATCCGTTTTTCGTCAGAGTTTTATATCGAGCTTACATACCAATATGTCTACTATTCGTCTATGCTTAGAATATTCCTGCCACATATGGCCCGGTGCTCCCGCTATTTAGCTAGAATTCCTTGAAGAACCAGCAATATTATTAGTCCTGATTTGGCGACTCGGCTTCAGTCAATTTCCCATCGCTGTAAATTTACCCACCTGTGCCTTTTTTTATAAACACTTTCATGGTAATCTTTCGGATCAGCTCTTTGCTAAAGTACCTATACTTTATGAATTTAATTTACTACTAGACTAGCGACGTGGTCTCATCAATTTACAGTTGAAATGGTTAGATGTAACCATAACTACTCGCTTATGGAACTCTCTTCCAGCACCATGCTTTCCACTCAAAATTTAATCTTCAAAAAATTTAAATGCAATGCCAATCGGTATCTACTGTTTTCCTGATTCTTCTTTCTTTTTTTTTTTTGTTATCTCTCGTTAGTAATGTTTCTGTTTTCTAATTCTTCACACCCAGTAATCCCTTGTGTCTTAGTGGCTTTACTGCCTTGCTTGGGGCCAATTCGATTAATATATACATAAGTTGGCCTTTGCTAACCAGACGTTTCTCTGTGACTGAACGGTTAACTGCACATCAAATCAATGACGGTTCGGAGAACTTGTATTTTTTACGAAATTTCTCGAATATTCAGGCCGGTAAATGTAATTAATAGTTTAATTAAAAAAAACAGAGCATTTACTTAAATAAATTATATCTATAAAAAATAATGTATAAACAGAATATATATTACATATATATATATAAGGTATTATAAAATGACAATTGGAAAAAAAATCTTAGTCGTTTGCCGACGCGTTTCGTCTTCTGACTTTTTCAAGGCGAAAATGAAATCGAAATGTTTTTGTTGTTATAGTTACATTAAAATCCAAATTTTAAAAAGAGAGACGCTTCTGCGTAAGCCTGTTTCTGGTTAATGTAAATTTCCTTTATTTTTTCAACTTGTCATCTTATACCAATTTGTCTTGTCTACAGAATTGATCTGTGAATTTAACTATAAGGTATTATCATTATTATATGATTTGCTATTCGGACCAACATGCTCGTCATTGTTATTATAAACACACAACGTTTCGACAATGTATCCTCTGATTTCAGCTTATTTTTGTACTCGGTAACATACTTTGAATTTCAAACCAAACACTTGAGTCAATCTACAGTGGTAGACCTTTTTTCATTTCGCTTGGTTCATATGGTTAGAGAACATTTCATTTCGTTCTGGTTCTGTGGAAGAGAAGGACAAGCGACACCAAGGGGAATGATACTAGTGTCTCTTAACAGATACGATGGATTTCTGAGCGTAAGATGTGTGACACAAGGCCGGAGATATAGAGCAGCCAGTGACGAACCAATTCACTATTCAGTCGTAACTGATCTCGCGAGACAAACTTGTTAACCGTTACACCACTGTGAGTATTAACGGACATGAAATAAATTCTTAGCATAGGAAGAAGAATGAGTGGATTGGATAAAGGGTTTGACTCGAGATTACGGTGTGATAAAACAACAAAGATAAAGATGCTAGAATATATTATTCATGATGCCATCGTAAACATTGGGGAAAAATAGATGTCTGAAAGAAAAATATGTTGAGATAAATGAAAGATTAATGAAGAAAAAAAAACGGAAGAGAAAGAAAAGAAGCAAAAAAGGCGAAAGGGAAAAAGTAGAAATGAAGGAGAATGGTAAAGAAGAAAGAAAGAAAGAAAAAAGAAGATGAAAATGAAAAAAAAAACCAGAAAAACGAAACTAAAAACGAACTGAAAGGAAACAAGAAGGAAAAAAGAAAAAGGAATTAGAAAAAGAAATTTTTAAAAGTATGAAATAAAAGAAGAAAAGAAAGTAGAGGGAAAAGCAATGAAGATAAAAGAGAAAAAAAGAAGAAGAAAATAAACACTGAAGACGAGAAAAGAAAAGGAAAGAAAACAAAGAGGTAGGATAAATTTTTAAAAAAAGAAAATGAAAAAAACGTTCATTATAAAATTGCAACAGAAGCATTTAACTCTATTAAATTTAACGATATTCATTAAGCTAAGTCTGGATCCAAGCCACAATAGACGCGCTCCAAGTGTGAATTAGACTTCTACCTCAACATACCTCTGAACTGATATTCTACGCTAGTTGCACTATTTATTTACTATTTACAACTACTTATTGTCTTTCACAATAACAAATATCCCGGTGAACATCTCATTCATTTTAACTATAATGACAGTCTAAGATATCCATTCTGGTTTGGCACAAGGTCATAACATTGATGGTCTGAGAGACAAGCTTGTTAATCAACATACAAGAGGCCTCTGCAGATGCGATCTTCTTTAGTGCACGGCATCTGTCTTCATTGAGTAGCTGAGAGAAAGCTGGAGGCGTCCAGAGATCGAGTGAATATCTCCGAAATTAAACTCACTCCCGAGAGAGAGGAAAAATGCTTCTTTGGTTTCAAAAATAAATAATTTGAGTGACAAGTGCAAGAAGGCAAGTGTTAAAATTTATTTTCACAAATATGAATAGCGAAGTTGGATTTTTTTTTTTTTTTTTACTGAATTTTTTTTTTCCGGTTTTTAATGGAAAAAGTAATGAGTTCCAACAAGAGAGTTAACTATTTTTTTCTGTTATTTTTATTCATTTTTGTATTTCTGGATATTTATTTATCGTTGAAATATTTCTTTCTTTCACTGTCTTTAGGCTTAAAACCATGTCGCGTTGAAAAACCGGTTTCCGTACTGTCACCGTAGTTAAGCAACGTTGAACTTGGTCAGTACGTAGAATTGTGACCGCTTAGGAATAACAGGTGCTTCTCGGCTGGAATGTGCGGGTGGTGTAATGGATACTGCCTCGGAATTTTTAATCGGTGACCCGAGTTCCAATTCTAGTTAGGTTCGTTAGGTTTATTTGTAAAAGATATTAATCCAACTCTTCTTCTCCCCGCTATGGGTTAATTATCTGATGTTAACCGGGGGAAGGAATGTCTTGTTAATTTGGACGCCTCCAAAACAAAGCTCCTCTCTAATAATCATATGAGAGATACCCTTCCTGCCTTCCATGTTAACCTTCAGGTAACTGACTTATTGCGCCTTATTCTACTTTGCTTGGGGATGGAATGATTAAACTTCATGCTATACTTTACCTTTACAAGCGCCAGATCAAAATGGAGCACGGTTGCCTTGTTTAGGCAGGAACTATCCAGTCCTCACTTTCCAGGCTCTCCGAGTCTTTATTCTTCACCTACCAACCTCTCTCTCACAGGAGCGACGTACGGAGTCTCTCAGTGGACTATTGCTACTACCATAGAAAGTGTTTCGGGCAAAGTACATTCTTTGGTTCCGCCAGGACTAACATTCCCGGCTTGAACCCGCCATGTCACTTACATTCTAGCAAACCACACACATTTCTTCCATATTCCATCGGTGAGAATTAGGTTCCACTCGCACAGCTTCTTCCCGCGAACAACTGCTCTGAAGAACCACTCCCAAGAGGATTTTTCCCCAGTCACTACTATCTTAAGCTGTTCAAATCTTGAGTTAACAGTGATATTCCCATTATATCAGTATGAACTGCCCCTTAACGTAATCCTCTACCTGGATTGGTACCCGGCCTTGTACAGAATGAACCTTCTGCATATATATATATATATATATATATATATATATATATATATATATATATATACAAATATTTAAGTAAATGTTCTGTTTATAATAAACAGTAATAACAATATTTACCAGCCTGAATGTCCGAGAAATCTCATAGAAAATATGTGTCCTCCAACAGGAATCGAACCTGTATCCTACACGGAACCGTCATATAACCTTTAGATACAGGGAAAGCGTCTGGTTAGCAAGGTTAAATTACTTTTTTTAAAATACAAATTTCCTATGATTTCTTTCGAACGCTCATATCTGCTCGAATTCAGGCCGGTAAATGTTGTTAATATATTTATAATAAACAAAGCATTTGCTTAAATATTTGTATCTATAAAATTAACGTATAAACAGAATATATATATATATATATATATATAATTATTTATTCGAAAATTATAGCATAAACATGTTATAAAATCACTACAAGAATAGCCATTATTGTTTCAACATTTCTGGTGTCTTATCAAGTGACGGTGTTGTATGTAGAATAAAAGGTTTTAAAAGATTCAAATCAATCATCCTCGCAAGGCGAAACTCTGTTAAATAAATGACCAATCAAAATACAAGTGTATGAGAATTCAAAAACTTGACAACGGACTTTTAGGTTATAATAATTATTTAATGCTTTAATGTTGCGGTTAGACTATAGTAGAATTCATTCTAAGTAATAAATATTAAATTATACTATAAAATTAAAATTACCAATTTTAAATTTAAAATTTAATCTATATTAAGTTTAAAATTATAAAATTATTTAAAGAAACCGAAGAAAAAAAAAAAAATATATATATATATATATATATATATATATATATATATATATATATATATATATATATATATATATATATATATATATATATATATATATATATATATATATATATATATATATATATATATATATATATATAGGAGGAGGATAGAATGAGAAATGAGGGGGATGTTGAGAAGTTCTTGACCTTATCAATAAGGGTCCCCTCCCCAACAAATCTGATATTTCGTTATTTAGATACCTTTAAAGAATAAGGACGTGGAACTGAGAACTTATAAACAAAACGATAATTTTTGTTAAAAATACACCGATCAATTTACAGATAAATGTTTTCCTTTCAAAGGCATCTTTGTTTACCAAATGTAGCTTAGATATCATGACGTCTAAAAACCGAAAATAAATTTGCTTCGTATCCACCCATTCTTCCACTGCAGGTGATCGTTGACCGACCACAGTTAAACTCTTTACCCCTACCTTCTCGCGGTCAGTTAGTCACGACAAAGACTGGTCAAACCTATGTTTTGTTCAATCTAGCTGCGCCTTCGCTGTAGCAATATTTACAACGGAACTCGTAATTACAACGTGTTGTCCAGCATCACATTTATCATACACCAAGGCTGTCCATTAGGGTTGGGGTAAGGTTACCCACGTGCAAATTATACGGGGTTTAATACGTTTCTTCTTTGTTAAGTGCCGATGCCAAATCCCTCGGCTGAATCAGTTTTGAAATCAGTCCAAGAAAACGTTTGAAAGTTGATCACAGTAACTAAAAACCCGATGTTTCTAACATGTCTTCTCAAACTTTGTCCTATTTACGGAAGACCAGACTCAGTAAATCTTTACGAAGTCAACGTCAAGCGAGGGAGTCACTGTAATCATGTTATTTATTCAGACAAAGAAATGGTAAAGGTGTGTAACTCTTCAGGCCTGTCTGATTACTTTTTGTGTTTTTGGTCTATTTTTAAATGATTCGACCGGCTTCGTTCCAGATTTTTCTCCGAGTTTTATAAGACTATTGGACTCTACTTTGAACGATAACAATATATTAAGCTCTAAATGAAAATGATGATCCCTCTTGCTGTTGTGGCCTCCTGATCCAGTTTTCCTCTCTACTGTTCCGTCTTCTTTTTAAATTATTCTCCGTTCTCTTGATGATTCGTCAATGGACTTTGAAAATGGAAGCCAGAGTGTGAATGCTGGTACCATTACTGAAGGCCTGAATGATCTTTTTACCTCTCAACATTGCTCAATTGGAAAGGCAGAATGGGGCTGACACAAAATGATTTTAATCTCATCTCTTTGTAGCTGAATAACTCAAAGTGTTTTTTACTGATTCTTGCGACAAATGGCGTTAAATGTAACCATTTAACGCCATTTGTCGTAAGAATCAGTAGCTGAAAACCTGGGTAAAGAAACTCAATTAATTTAGTTGTTCGTTAGCTATTAAATATTTTGTGGGATTGACAATTATCGCGTGCTGTTACACAATTTGGACAATTCTGCTGTCACACCCGATATATATATATATATATATATATATATATATATATATATATATATATATATATATATATATATATATATATAATGAAGAAGCACGGACACTTTCTTTATATGTATGAATAGAAAAGTTGCGAATTAAAAAACAATAATGTTTTTATGAAAGTATTTATTTATATTTTTTATATGTAGTTTTGATATTACAGATCGACCTCGATCTTTCTTCAGAAAATTTTTTTTATTATTTTTTAAATTGCAACTCATATATATATATATATATATATATATATATATATATGCCCAAATGAGAGAAACATTACTTTTAAATGGTTTTGCTGTAACACCATATATATATATATATATATATATATATATATATATATATGAGAGAAAAGAACGGATGGAGTAAAATCCACTGTTCATACTATTTACTTTTAAAAGAGTGCTCAATAGAATGTAGAGCAATATATTATTATTATATTTTTATTGTAAGAGATTATAATAAAAACATTTTGAAATCGCTACACTAAAGCTTTCATGTTTCTATACTATATATATATATATATATATATATATATATATATATATATATATACAGAGAGAGAGAATTATATACCTAACTTAAAGGACAATCACGAATTAGCTGTTTAAATAAGATGCTGCTCCACACTTAGTACCATTTTGAACTGTTCACTCGTTGACGTTTAAAAAGCATTGTTTATAAAATGTAGTTAAAAATTGTTAGTGACTCGGAACGGGTAGTCGGTGAGTTCGAATTCTAGTCAATAACGTCGCATTCACTTTCTCAAAAATAACTTTATGGAGCCATCACTCCCCACTCCCGGTATAACTATGGGTTTAAAAGATTTAACTAGCTAGTCGTGGTTTGCAGCCAATATTGGAAAAGAGAATTATGAATTTCAAATGGTGTAGCTTTGGTAGGCCATGTAATTGAACTGTAACTAAGCTCTACTCAGCATAGCTGCAGTACAAATTACAGGTTGGCTCTGTGGGCGTTGAAGAAGAACAAATAGGCCTGAGCAGCGATGGTGAAGAGGAGAAATCACGCTGATTTACAG